ACTTGCTCCAGGGACTGGAAGGCCTACAGCTCTGTCTGGTGCTCTGGCTCTTGGTTCTGCTTCTGTTGCTCCTCTGTTACTCCACTGGTGTCCTAGCTTTCTGGCCCTGCATCCAGGAGGCTCAGTGCACAGGGATCTCGGGGTCCAAAGGATACACTCCACTCCTGGCTCATCTTCTTAATGGTAGTGAGATTCCCCCATCCCTGCGTCTGAGATGGCTCATTGTATGCCCATGCTCAAGTTTCGAGGTTTTACAATTACTGTGATCTCTGTTAACCGCTGAATCCTGGCATTCTATCAGTATCTTCTCCTACCTTCTGTTACCCGGACCCATTAGGAAAAGAGTGGTTTGGTGGGAGTTACAAAGACTATGGCCTGAAGAGGCACGCTGAATCATTCACTGCACCACCGTCAAAAAGGAGTGCTCGGGGTCTTTGTAGGAATTTGATTTGTGCATATTTGTTGTAGACCTCATCTTCTCTGATTTATAAATTCCAACTTCTTGGAATCCCTCCAGGTGTTCCTCTGTTAGGATATCATCCCGTGGCTTGCTTGTTGCTGTCATACTGGAAACCATGCCACCAGACTAAGATATGCCTGACCCAAGCCAAGGGATTTCCAATCACCTCATGTGCATGTGAAAGTTGGACAATGACTAAAAAGAAGCATGGAGAAGAATCAATGGATAGGAACGCTGAATTAGGGCTAGAATTACGGGTAGCTAGAGTAGCGTAGTGGTTACGAATCGGGCTGCGAACCTAAAGGTCAGCGGTTCGAAACTACCAGCTGCTCCGCGGGAGAAAGATGAGGCTTTCTACTCCCGTAAGGATTTACACCCTCGGAAACCCTGTACAGGGTCGCTATGGGTCGGAACCGACTCGACGGCACGTAACAACAACAACAACAACAACAACAACAGAGGAACAAAGAAATCTGCGTTGGAAGAAGTACAGCCAGAATGCTCCTTAGACGCCAAGATGGCCAGACTTCTTCTCTCAAACTTCAGGCATGTTGTCAGGAGGGACCAGTCCCTGGAGAAGGACATCTTCCTTGGTAAAGTGAAGGGTCAGTGAAACGGAGGAGGGCCCTTAGTGAGATGGATTGGCACAGTGGCAGCAGTAATGGGCTCGAGTGTAGCAATAATTGTGAGGATGGCGCAAGACTGGGTATTGTTTTGTTACGTTGTGCACAGGGTCGCTATGAGTTGGGACCAACTCAATGACACCTAACAACAGCACCATCAAGAAGATTCACTTACTGAATGTAGTCACCCAAATCTAGGCCTCAATAGCATTTCAGATTTCTTGTCCAATGACGATGACTCTTCTGGTAGTGTCGTGGGTTAAACATTGGACTACTAACTGCGAGGTTGATGATTCAAACCCACCAGCTACTCGGGAGCAGTTCCCCGCTGTCCTATGAGGGTCACTATGCGTTGGAATTGACTGGACAGTGGTGGACTTATTCATAACTCTTTTTCCAGTATTTATCTGGATTGAGCTATATGGTAATGTGGGTGCCATATAGTTTGAAAATGTCAAGCTTTTGAAAAGGTTTGAAGAAATCAAATGCCATAGGTTTTTCAACAGTTCCCCAACAGCTTCCCTATGGTCCCACTCCGTTGATGGGAATTTATTCTGAGAAACTCTCTGGTATGATATAGAAAGGCCTCCACTGTCTCTGCTGTGACTGAGTTCTCACTGAGTGGTGCCCTGAGGTTGTTTAGATCCTAAGTGCACTGGGAAAAGAAACTCATACTTCTAGGGCCAAATTTCCAAATCCAATCATTTGTAGCAGGCCGATCACATTCTGTAATATTTTAAGAAAAAAAAAAGTTTGTTGTATAAATCCCTGCCAATGTCTTCTTACCACTGCTCCCTGGACACAAAACCATGCCTTAGTTGTTCTATAGTGCAGACAATGGCTTAGACAACCAAACGAAAATACAACCATATGGCACTTAACATCCACAATGTGTTCTGGGAAATTGAACGTTATGTGAGTTAGGCATTGTGCGAACACCATACTATTTTTGTTAAATACTCTCAAGTCGATTCTGACTCATAGCAACCCTTTATAGGGTTCCCAAGATGTGGTTGGTGGGTTTGAACCATCAACCTTGTGGTTTGTAGCCCAGTAGTCATCTACAGCGACACACCAGGACACCATATCGTAGTCTGTTCCTACTTTGTCTTTAAGCTTCTCGAATGAGCTTCGTGCCTTAGTGATCCTCAATGTGCTTTTGTTGATGTGATTCGTTTTTGTGTTTGCTCTTCTAACGATGTCTTTAGCAATGTCTCCATAGCTGATAGAGGCCCCTCTCGAATTTCCATTAGCCTTGTAGCTTTCAGTGGAGCTGACTCTTATCCAGCTTTGAGAATTTCGTTTTGTTCTGTTTTTGAGGCCCATTATGGTTATCAAGTGCAACGGGCCTCAATCATGAGCAGTAACGTTCACTGATTTTCCACCTTTGTGCTGTTTAACAGCCTTTTAAAATTTACTTCCAAATGGAGGTTTCTCCATTGTCTCTTACTGCTGCTACCATGAGCACTGACTTTGCGGCGTTTGGGAGAGCCATGAAAAATTACAAAGTAAAATATTACTTCACATTAAAAAATGTGAAAGAAAATTAAACAGATCACACTGCAGCATTGATGACAGGTGATACATGAGATGGGATGTTGCTGCGCAGGAGCCAGAACACACGCTGTTACATGGCGAACATTTTAGAAAGCACAGTGCCGTACCTATGTCAGCCTGTAACAGATGTGCATTATGACGATCAAGACATATGTAGTACAGGTTATATATACGAGGGGGCTTCAAAATGTTAGTGGAAAAATTGAATCAAATGCTATTGGAATTTTTCCACGAACATTACAAAGCCCACCCTCTTAAATGCATGGTACCATCACCCTCCTGACAGTGCCATCGCTGTGTGTACAAGGAATCTGAGCTTCTCGTGTCGCCTACTGGGCGCTCCTGCATTCGCAATCCCGTTCTCTGATCACAGTGTAGGGACTCTATTTAACGTCATGGAACCATGAACATATATGTTGTCAGACGTTGCTTGAAGTGATATAATGTGGCACATGGTTGTGTAGAGGTGACTGCATGCACTATTTGCTGACCCTGGCACTACCTGGGCAGGTGGGGCCAAGAATGCAATGGTACCAGATAATGTTAAAAACTCATTGGTGAAAGGAACTTCTGTCTTCCTCAATCTCAAGACATGAAAAATATCTTCAAGCTCTTGTGCAATGAGTATGCACATAATGCCAACGCCTCATTATTTCTCTTACCAAGTCTCTCTAGCACTGTCTGGGATCATTGTGTTCTCGGCCCACCTGAGACTCTGTCAAAGTCTTTCTTCCTGATCCTCATTCTGCTGGTGTCCTTCTTGTGAAGAGTTCAGAAGAGTGGGATGTCAGATCACGGGGCGCCGGTGTTTGAGACTCTGGGGAACACTGATGTACCTCACCATTCATGTAGCTTCTGCATTTTCTTTGTTGTGTGCCGGTTGCTGGAAAAGTTTGCTAGTCTTGTGTGTGGTGTTTGCTGTACTTCCGTGACCTCTGATCCTCATGCACTTGGGCCATGTCTTGGAAGACAGTCTAAACTTCTCCTTCTGAGATAAAACCAATCCCTCACTTACCGTCTGTCTTACTGGGGCCTTCAGATTAGCTTGAGCCTGCAAAACTCCTTAGGGCATTCACGTCCTTATTTCAAAGTGATGGTGTGAACATTTCCCAGCATCTCCACTGCTCTATATGTCAGAATTACTTAGAAGCTTGTTACACAATCTACATCTAAACCCCAACTCCAGACAGACAATGGAGTCAGCCCTAGTATTCCACACAAGCCTTCTACTCCGAGCCAGCAAACACAAGCTCTGTGTTTTTTTTTTTTTTGCTTTGCACGAACACTAACTAGTTGGCTAGTCTGTTTATCTTCCTTCCTACCTCTATACCTCCTACCCCCCTCCTTGGAGTCCTGGTGTGGCTTTGTGTGGGTTGATGCGCTGGACTGCAAAGCCCTTTGAACCACAAGGTTGGCATGGTTCAATCTCACCAGCTGCTTCTCAGAAGCCAGGACCCTGCCTGCCCTCAGGGCGGTCCCAGTCTTCATTCTCTTCCTTCTGGACCTGACCCAGGTGGCTTTGTGGCTGCTGACCTGGCCCTGACCAGCGTTGAATAAGCCCAGGGTTTGCCTGCTCTCAGGCTTCAGGGCGACAGGGGGCTTCAGCACCACCCCACAGACCAGCCTGGTTCAGGAGGTGTTCCTGTGGTTCAGAAAATCAAGGCATTTATTTCTTATAACCTTACAATACGACTGGTGTAATTTTTAAACTTGTAAACACTTTAATCCTGTTGTTTTGTTCTGACTTTTAGCAGCTACCAGCTCGTTCCTGATTCGTTTGAGACACTTTGATTACTTATTGTTGTTGTTGTTGTTAGCGACTCTGTATAGCGTTTCTGAGACTTTCAGTCTTCGCTGGAGCAGAAAGCCTCATTGTTTTCCTGCGTCTTATTTTAGAAGTGCTATGTAAAACTGTTGTTTTTACAGACACACACAGCATTTTCATTCCTTTTACAGACATTTTGACAGTTCAGCCACTGACCTTTCCTGATTTCTCAATTGTTTAATTATTTTGCGTTCTTTGCACAGAATTGCGTAGTGCTTTTATTAAAATAGCCCAATTTCTACTGGACGCTCCCCCAACCTCTCGGTTAACAGCCCATGGCACCACCAGGGCGTCTTTGGAGGTAGGCATAGCCACTGAAAACAGGAGGGCCTGGGTCTCTGTCCAGAATCATTTTCTGGCAGAGCCGTCTTTGGTGGCCCCTTAGTCTGAGAGCACCAGGTGTAGGTCCTGGTGGAAGGGTGACTTCCAGAAGGACCAGCTCCTCTGGAAGTGAGAGGGGAAGGCAGCAGGGAGGGAGCCGAGTTAATATGGTACTGGGGGGCTGAGTGGGTATCTGGTCCTCTTTGCACCTCAGTTCTGGATGTCCATCGTGGCCACCACCATGCCCATACCTTGCGGAGGTTTCATGCCTGTGTTTGTGCTCGGTAAGTCCAGCTGGAGACTCCCAGGAGGGTGAGAGGAGGCTTTGGGGGATTGCGTTTGGTCTTTCTAGCTCTGAAAATCTAGCTGGGGGGACCTTGGCTACCTTGAGCGCTTCACTCCAAGTAACTTGACTCTAGGCGCTGCCTTCGGAAGGCTGGTGGGAGAGCTGATGGCCATGCTGTTCCCTGATGGCATCTTATTTGATGGCATCGTTTACAAGATCCTTCCTGGGGGCTACGCAGTCATCGGTGAGACACGTTCCTACCCCTGTAGGCCCACCCCGAGGACCCCACATTCCACACTCAAAGTCTCGCCATCTTCATTGTGGCCCACTCCCACCGGTTTCAGATCACCTGTATTCATAATCAGCTCCCCGCTCTGACTCTCTCATTGCAGTAGGAACCAGGCCTGACCCTGCCTAGCTTCTAAGGTCAGACGAGACCAGGTGTGTTCGGGGCCGTATGGTTGTAGATGGCACCAACTCTCATGAGTAGTTACTGAACCGCTTTGAGCCTTGTGGGGATCAGACGCAATAGTATGGATGAGAACGCTTAGGATTGTGGCCAGTGTTTCTTCTTTCCTTCCTGAGATTCATGGAAAGGTCCATGCTAGAGCCTGGCTCTGCCCCCTGACCTGCAGACCAGCTAGTGTTGGTGGGGTTGATGGGTCATCACTCAACTATCATTGTGAGCCTTTGTTTCATTATTCTGAAATGACTCTTGAGATATTTACAGCCCTGAGCTTCTGAAAGTCTAGGATAACACTGTTTCCTTAAGTTTATTGTCCCATTCAACCAAGAGCCCAACCCCAGGTGCACTACCAAGTCTTGTACCACCATCACAATCACTGCTATTCTCGAGCCTGTTGTCACAGCCACTGTGATAAATCCATCCTGTAACAGGTTCTTCCTCTTTTACCAAGCATCATGTCCTTCTCCAGGGACTGGTCCCTCCTGATAACATGTCTACTAAAGTATGTGAGATGAAGTCTCGCCATCTTTTCTGCTAGGGAGCATTCCAGCTCAACGTCCTCCAAGACAGATTCATTCTCTGCCAGCACATTTAATATTCTTCACTAGCACCATAATTCACAGGCATCCATGAGTCTTTGGTTTTCCTTTTTCATTATTCAGCTTCTACATGCATAGGAGCCAAACCTCATTTTATTGTACTTTACCGATCCTGTGTTTTTACAAATTTGACGTTGCGGCAACCCTGCATCGAGCAAATTTATTGGCCACCATTTTTCCAACACCATGTGCTCACATGTCAGTGATTCTCACAACATTCCCAAGTTCTTCATCAGGCTGCTTCATGGACCCCAGTCTAGGGTCAACATCACTTTTCTAGGCACTGCGAAACCAAAAAATGCACGTGACTTGCTTTATTTCAGCACTCACTGCATTGCAGAAGTCTGAAGCAACCCCAACATCTCTGAAGCAAAACCTGTCTCCAGGGTATTTAAGGGATCATCAAATCTTAGGTCTCTACATGCCTTAGCTAGCACTGGATGGACCCGTTTGGCCGATCTGCAGCTATCTAAGTGGGAGATTCTGGGGCCATGCCCTGTGCTTGGATGGTTGAGGGTCAGAGCTGGACCTCAGTTTTCCAGGTCCAGATTTTTACACTATTCTGTCACTCATTGTTGGCACCAAGGCCTGAGACCCAAGACGAAATGCCAAGTGAGCTGCTAAGAGCAACCTAGACTCTTAAAAGTGAGGAAGGGAGCGGACACCCCTGTTTTCATTTCATCCATGAAGACTTGGGCCCCCAGATGATTTTGTGGTAGTTGAAAGTCATAGGAACATCAAAACTGTTTTCTTTCTGACTGTGCAGCACCTTACCCTTCTCGGGAGTGTTGGCAGAGACGGGATGCGCCTCCCTGTCTCCGTCCTCCCATTACTGACTGCGTGCGGCTACCCTCACCCACCTGTGTGGCTGGTATCTCATTCCAGGAGCAGCGGCGCTGACTGGTGCTGTATCCCACACCGTCTCCACAGCTGTGATCTGCTTCGAGTTGACCGGTCAGATCGCTCACATCCTGCCCATGATGGTGGCGGTTATCTTGGCCAACATGGTGGCACAGAGCCTGCAGCCGTCCCTCTATGATAGTATCATCCAGGTCAAGAAACTGCCTTATCTGCCAGACCTAGGCTGGAATCAGCTCAGGTCAGAAACCTTGGGGGGTGGAGCCTGGGATTGGCTCTACTGGGGCCAGTCTCCTCAGGAGTGACCATAGGCATGATGAACTCATGCAGCAGGGGAAGGGGTTGCCAGACTGACCTGTGCTCCCCCTCTGTAGCAAGTTTACAATCTTTGTTGAGGACATCATGGTGCGGGATGTGAAGTTTGTTTCTGCCACTTGCACTTATGGAGAGTTACAGACTCTGCTCCAGGCAACCACAGTCAAGACGTTACCCCTGGTGGATTCAAAAGGTCAGTGGGGGCAGGACTCGGACTTCTGGGCAAGGGACCTGAACGAGGGGCATACAGGGGTCACTGCGGTGTGGCTGTCCTTAAGGCCAGCCTTAGGGGACATTCCTACCCTCGAGAGAAAAGTGGATCCAAAGCACAAACACAAGAAGGCAGGCAGAGAAGTGAACCCGTGACTCCTGAGGTGGTTCCTTTGCGACTTAGTTGAAGCAGCACGGGACCTCTTGTCACTGAGTTGACACAGCTGTCAGAGTGGAACTGTGCCCCACAGGGTCTCCATTTCTGACTCATGGTGCCCCCACGTGTGTCAGAGTAGAACTGTGTGTACCACAGGGTTTTCTGCATAGACTCATGGTGTTCTCATGCATGTCACAGTAGAACTGTATGCTCCACAGGGTGTTCATCTCTGATCTATCATGCCCTCATGCATGTCAGAGTAGAGTTGTCCTCTATGGTGCTTCCAATGACTACATTTTGGGAAGTAGATTTTTCCTCTGAGGTGCTTCTGGGTAGATTCAAACTCTCCACCTTTTGGATAGCTGTTGACTCCCTGCCCCCCAGGGACTCATAGTGGACTACATAGGTGTTTTGGGTAGCAGCCGCTGACCCCCGGGACACATACGTGTTTTGCGACTGTGACTCTTTATAGGAGCAGACAGCCTGGTCTTTCATCCTGCAGCGTGGCCACTGGGTGTCAACTGCTGGCCTTGCGGGTCACTGTCCAGCACCTAACTCGTGGCCACCAGGGATCCTTAGTTGAAGCCCACTTACTCTTAATGCCCGTTAAACCTCAGAGGCGATGAGGCCCTCGCACACACACCGAGAGTCAGGTCGTCAGGTAGACGCAGACTTCCCAGCTGACTTCCTGCGCTGCCCTTCTACCCGCCTTTGGTCCTTCCGCGCTCCTTGCTTCATGTTGCTTCTTGCGTGGCTTTATACAAGGGAGCACAAAACGTTTGTGGCAAAGTTCCATGCTCTTTCAATTCAATCTAAATTCAAACACTTTGAAGTCCCCTTGTATATCTATATCTTATGGTATGGCACGATAGATTCAACACTGGACTGTGAACCACAAGGTCAGTAGTTCAAACCTACCAGTCACTCCTTGGAAACCCTATTGTTGTTGTTGTTGTTAGGTGCCATCGAGTCGGCACTGACCCATAGCGACCTTATGCTCAACAGAACGAAACACTGCTCGATCCTGGGCCAATCTCACTACTGTTGCCACGCTTGAGCCAACTGATGCTGCCACTTGGCCAATCCATCTCGCTGGGGGTCTTCCTCTTTTCCTCTGACCAGACATGATATCCTTCTCCAGCAACTGCTCCCTCCAGGGTCGTTATAGTTGAAACCAACTTGGTGATACTTAACTACAACAAATCCCGTCAGTAGATTGGACCCTCCTTAGGATAGAGGTCTCTTTAGAGAAATTTATTGGATGTGTAACAATTATATGCTTGATGCATGAGTTGTGTAATGCAGAACAATCAGGTGGGCCAGTCAGTGCCATTCAGATCGCTGTGATTTCAGGAACTCAGGGTATCCAAATTGCTCACATGAAAGTCATTCTAATTTTGGGCTCACCGGAGTCCTGGTGTGGCGCTGTGGGTTAATGCGCCAGACTGCAAATTTGTTTGAACTGCAAGGTTGGTGGTTCAAGCTCACCAGCAGCTCCTTGGAAACCCTATACAGGGTCGCTATGGGTCAGAACCGACTCGACGGCACTTAACAACAACAACAATGTTTCCAAACAGGTTATATAAGGGCTGGATCAAAATATGAAGAGACTTCAAAGTGTTCATGGAAAATTCAATTTTCTTTTTATCATATACATATATAACTCTTCTTTTGATTCTTGGTGTGGTGCTGTAGGATAAACACTAGAGTACAAAGTCGGTCTGAGTTGCAAGGTCGGTGGTTCAAACTCACCAGCCGCTCCTTGGAAGCCCCATACGGGGCCACTATGACTGGAACTGACTCGGTGACACTTAGCCACCGCCAACAACCGTGCACTACCAGTTGGGCCTCAAGTACTAAACAAGTCCAATGAAAGGGATTGATTGAGGTCAGGCCTGGAAGGTTCTGAAAGGGGTTTTCAGGGAGGGAGGGCCAAAGCTGAGCTGAGTCCCTGGGTGTTGCAGGTGATTTGGGCTTAACTACTAGCTGAAAGTTTGGCATTTGAAACTTACCCAGAAGTTACCTTGGAAGACAAGCCTGGCCAAACTTCGAAAACGTCACAGCCTTGAAACCCTATGGAGCATTTGTACTCTGTACACGTGGGGCCGCCGTGTGTCAGAATTGACAGGGATGTAACAGGTGGTGGCGCAGTGAGTTAAGTGCCCAGCAGCTATGCCGTGGCACAGAGAGGAGCAGTCTGCTCTCATAATGACCCACAGTCTCGGGAACTATAGAGCATTTCTCTATGTCCTTTCTATGTGACTGTTTTGAGTTGGAATCGACTCAGCACAGGGCGGCTTGGTTTGGTTTTTGGGTCATAACAACAACTAATGGAAAAGTTGGCAGTTTGAACCCACCCACCCCCACCTCCCCACATAGCAGGAGGACTGCTCCGCGGCCTGTCTTGGATGTTCCCTTTATGAAAGCAAACATCCTTTCTCTGCCACTGCAGAGAAAGGATGTTTGCTTTCATAAAGGGAACATCCAAGACAGGCAGCAGAGGCTGTGGTGGGAGAATAGGGCTGCTGGTTTGAGCTCCGGGCGCCCCGGCCTCAGATGAGCCGTTTCCCCAGACTCCATGATCCTGCTGGGCTGTGTGGAGCGCTCCGAGCTGCAGGCCCTGCTTCAGCGGCACCTGAGTGCTGAGCGGCGACTGCGGGCTGCCCAGGACCTGGCCCAGAAGTTGTCGGAGCTGCCTTATGATGGAAAGGCCACCGTGGGGGGGCCCGAGTCCTTCACCTTTGTGGACGAGGATGAAGATGAGGAGCTGCCTGCAAGGATGGAGGTGACTTGGCAGGGAGGTCGGGGTGTGGTACCAGGAGAAGGGACTGTGGTTACAGAGCAAGGGTGGCCCCTGCCTTGTCCGTCCGTATGGCCTGGGGAGATGGCTGGGGAGGCTGATCACATTGCTGGTCTGGGTCTGGAGCCGAAGAGTCCAGCACCCTAGACCATGGCTGAAGGTGTTGAGGCCAACAAGGACCATGGTGTGGATGGAATCAAGGAGACAGGGTTTCCACCTGAGAGCAAGGGACAGCTAGTAGTCTCCCAAGGAGGCCCTGTTCCCAGGCTACTCGCTCTTCCTTACAGCCCCCTCCTCTTCAGCCTCCGCCCACCTTCCCTGTGACCCCACTGCCCCCTGAGGACCCCAAGAGGCCCCTGCCTGGCCACAAGCAGCAGCCAGAGGCCCCGGAACCTGCAGGTGATGGTTGCCCCCCCCTCCACAGGCTGCCCTCCCATGTCACTGTCCTAATAAGGGATGGGGGCGGGGGCCTGGAAATGTAGAGAGAGTGCCCGCAGAGGGGACGCCCCAAAGTGCAGGCCTGAGGGGAGAGGGTCAGTGTTCTAGAGTTGGCCATGCCCAGGGTCCAGGGGATTGCTGCTCTCCCTTTTCTCCCCTCCAGAGACAAGGCCATCTGTCTTCCGGGTCTTGCTGCGCTGTCTGCTGGGCCAGGCCAGACCCTCGAAGAAGAAGACCACCCAGGTAAGCAGAAGACCGGGATTGGTAAGGCGAGACCCCCTTTGAGGAGGGGAGACCCCAGGAGAGTCTGTTGTCGGAGGGCACTGGTGTCACCAGAACCGTGGAATGGAAGAAGGAAGCTGACCCTACCATTCTTCCTCAGGACTCCACAGACCTGGTGGACCACATGGCTCCAGAAGAGGTAATTGGGGAGCAACAGCTGTATGGGAGGGGGCTGTTCTGTCTCTTGCAGCTTTAGGAGGGGTGAAGGCAGAGAGCAGCCAGTCAGGGTGTGTGTGTGTTCATGAGTGGGGCTCAGGAATGTTGAAATTCCAGAGGGCACAGTTTAAGTCTCCTATGACCAAGGACGGAGTCCTGGTGTGGCGCTGTGGGTTAATACACTGTATTGCAAAGTTGGTTTGAACTGTTAGATCGTTGGTTCAAGCTCACCAGTCGCTCCTCGGAAACCCTATCCAGGGTCGCTATGGGTCAGAACTGACTCTACGGGACTTAATAACAACATGACCAAGGGCGTGTGACTTATGTGGGGTGTGATCAGGACCAGAGACAGGCCCCACCCGAGTCAGACGGTGCCCGATGTCAGCGTAAAATCACAGCAACGTGGGAACACAGCCGTCCAGCCCTGAGCCATGGACAGCAGACATCACAGGACACTAAGTCCCGAGCTGTGGACAGCAGATGTCAGGACAACAGGGGGGAGCACTGCCTGCTTTAACCGTTCAGTGACAGCCAGGTCTCCTCAGACAAACGACTGCTCCCCACAAGAGAGACAAGGGTGTGCGGGGTGAGCACTGGGAAGAACTCCTCTTACCCACTCTGAGACGCAGAGAAGGAGACAAATCGGGAGCAACTGTCTCGTTTAGTAAAGGGCTGTGGATTCGTCAGGCAGATGAAAGGCTGAGCTTCCCAACTGTGTGGCTGATCTAAAAAGCACGGAGGATATTAACTGAAAATGATCGAACGTCTTCATGGATGCCCAATAAAGATGCCCAGCGTTAGCATAGAAGCCCGAGATGGGAAACGTCTGTACTGAGGATGAAAAATGCCTCCAGCTGGGAGGATAGAGAGAATGACCTCTTCCTCCTCTTCTGTGGCACCCCTCACTTCAGATAATTGATGGAGAAGTGGGGTGAAGACTAGAGGAAAAGCAAAACACTCCTTCAGCCCATACACAGGAGTCCCATGGACCCCAACAGCTAGGAACGGACAGCTTGCTACGCCGGTGAGACCAGCAAGGTTGTGGTTGTCAGGTGCCGTTGAGTTGGGTCCGACTCATTACCAGTGCACTATTATATTTGAGCTTGTTGTTCCAGCCACTGTGTCAGTCCATCTTGTTGGGATCTTCCTCTTTGTCGTTGGCCCTCCTCTTTACCAAGCATGAAGTGCAACTGTAGTAACTTCAGCTAGGTGGTCTGTTGTTGTTGTTGTTAAGTGCCATAGAGTAGGTTCCGACCCATAGCAACCCTGTATAGGGTTTCTGAGGAGTGACTGGTGAGCTTGAACCACCGAGGCTGTCTTATGAGTGTGGAGGTGCCGTGTTGCCAGGGATGGAAAGCAAAGATCACACACACCCTCCTCTGTCCCGAGGGAGTCGGGCTGGGCACACCCTCGCCTCTGTGACCACTGAGACATTGGAGGGAGTCTCTGTGGGTCTGCTAGGAGTCAAAGTTCAGGGTGTGTTGAGTGTGTCCCTCACCCTGAGGACAGGGGTGGGTGTTGGGAGAATCCCCTTTGACTGGACTGTAACATCCTCTTCCCCTCCTCCAAAGCTGAGGGCCCAGGACCACACAGCCAGCTCCATAGCACTCCCAGTGTGCCCACCTGCAGCCCACCTATCGGGCATGCCTCAGTCTCCTCTCCGGGGGGGGGTACTGTGAGAACTGAGAACCCAGACCACAGAGGTGGCCTTGCCGTTGTTGTTGTCACTGGGTGGACCTTGGGGTGAGGGGGCCTGAGAGGACAGGACTGGTGGTCACACAGGGCGCTTGGAACCCCTGCCTCTCAGGCAGGGAGCCAGGGGCAGGGCCTTTCGGAGTAGGTGAGGGTAAATGAGGCTGAATGGGAATGGGGTTTCAGAAAACACTCGAGTGGACTCCTGCCGGTGCACCACCACCACCCCCCGCCCCCCAGGGCGAGCACTGAGAACCGGGGTAAGCATTTCTGAAGTGTGGCTACCTCCGTCCCAGAGGTAGTTTGGCTCCATGTGGCTTGGCAGCAAACTTCTGCTTGCTCTGCTGTGTGGCAAACAGACCTGCCTCTTCTTCACAATCTGAAGTGGAGTGTGTTCCCAGCAGTCAGGCTGAGAAAGATGCTGCGGCCGCAGACTGAGAACAATCAAGGCTAGGGCTGGGTAAGGGCCCAACACCGGGCCACAAAGACAAGCGCCTTTCGCTGGGGGGTAGGAGTCAGTGTGGGGTGGGCAGGACCAGGACAGAGACCCTGGAGACGGCCTGGAAGAACAGCCTGAACCAAGAGGCGTGGAAAGTGGGGGTCCCTGGTAGAACCAAGTGAATGCACTTGGTGAGCTGAAACAGCCACCCAGATGCACCTCAAAAGAAAAACCAATACATCAGCCATTGAGAACCCGGTGAAGCCCAGCTCTCCTCTGAGCCACAGAGCGTCTGCACAGGTCCACTCCACAACTTAAGTGGGAACCAAGGCAGACAATGGCTGGGACCCAGGAGGGCTGTGACCCCCAGGAGGGAAGATGTAGTGAGGGTGGGTATGCAAGGGGTGTGGGGGGTGTGGATGGTGATCTGGGAGCCAGCCAGGCTGCAGCCGGGGCCGGGGCTGCAGCACTGTGGTGTCCACTGCACTGCGGTGTCTGCTGCACTGTGGTGTCCACTGTGCTATGGTGACTGCTGCGCTGTGATGACCGCTGCGTTGTGGTGTCCGCTGCGCTGCATTGTCTGCTGCGCTATGATGACCGCTGTGTTGTGGTGTCCACTGCACTATGGTGACCGCTGCGCTGTGTTGACCGCTGCATGTCCACAGGTGGCAGCCTGGGAGCAGGAGCAGCTGGGTCAGCCCGTGTGCTTTGACTGCTGCTGCATTGACCAGTCCCCGTTCCAGCTGGTGGAGCAGACCACCCTGCACAAGGCAAGTCCGCTGACCACACGGGGGAACCGGGGCTGTGTGCTGACCGCTGACCACCACACGGGGGAAC